GTGTGTGTGATAGAGAGAGTGTGTGTGTGTGTGTGTGTGTGTGTGTGTGTGTGTGTGTGTGTTTGTGTGTGTGTTTGTGATGTAACACTGATGTGATTTAAAGGTTGGAGGATGAAACAGAGCGTTCTGCAGAGGAATGCTCGCCTGGCTGAGTCTTCACTGAAACGTGGCTCTGCATGAACACACAAATATTCCTCACACACACGCACGCACGCACGCACGCACGCGCGCACACACACACGCACACACACACACGCACACACACACACACGCACACACACACACACACACAAACACACACAATACTAATAATGAATACTTTCTGTGTTTACTGCCGTTTAAAGGCTGTCATCGTAGTACAAAGTATTACCAACACTCAGGGGGAGAAGTACTCAGATCTAATACTGAAGTACAAATACTACACTGAGTAGTAACTTAACAACTGATTAAATAAGTTAGTGTGATGAGCAAAAAATGAAGGTTATGTAATAAAGTACCTGATGTAGTTACAGTGCGTTTAACTTTAATTGAGTTTGATTTTGTTTTCCAAATGTTCACTTGATTCCCGAAGTCTAAAATGAAAAATTTTAATCATTTCACTTTTTGATTCTTACATTTTTCATGTTTTTATTGTAACTATTTAAAAATCTTACATTTTATATTCAAATGTTTAAAAAGTTTTATTTCTTACATTTTTTGTATTTCTTAATTCCTGAAGTGAGTGGAAGCTACATGGATTTGTAAAATGTGTTTTTTTAAAGGAGAAACTCCATGACATATGGCAGATAAACACATTGTATAATGTACTAACATCTGCATGACTGTCACTCCCTAATCTCTTTAAGGTCTCAGGAAGCGTCTTAAAGGAAGTCGGGGAGGAAATGTTGAAACAAATGTCGAAACGAGGAACTGACTCTCACGAGACTCTATCAGGAAGGCCACGGTTCTTACAAAACACTTTAAGTTAAAGTACCAAAGCTCATGCAGACACGATCCTGCTCATGCAAAACTGCCCACTAGACTTCAATGTGAAAATGATGTGAAGACAAGGGAAGTGTGCAAACTAATTATATGATTTGTTAAATATTGTGTACATTTGTTCTTTCATTTTAAATTGCATGTTTCTACGTTATCTTCCTATGTTTATAACAGTATTATCATTCTATATAATTTAATCATTTTGTAGCACATTTTAACGTCTTATATTTTAAAATTGTATTGCACATTCTTATTTTTACTTTTTATTTTAATATAAGAAATTTTTTCACTGCACGTTTTAAAATAAAAAATGTTTACTAAATATTTAATTTTTGTTCATTTCATAATCATTTATTTTGTTGCACATCAGAACTTCTTTTGTTCATATCCTTATTTTTCCTTAATTAAAAAATACATTTTTATTTTATCTTCCTACGTTTACGTAAATATGATTATTTTATGGTTTTATTGCACTTTAATACTTGAAATTCCTTTGTTTATATGATTATTATTTTTGTATTTTATTGATCTCATTCTGTAATGGCGAAACTGTCACAAAATCAAATAATGTGAGATTAAGGCCACGTTTACACGGAGACGAAACGGGTTCTATCCGATAGTTCTCTATCGTATGGACGGTTCGTTCACATAAGGCCGTAACAGAACCGCGGAAACGGAGCCCTCAAACGGTAACTGGTCCCAAAGTGGGTAGATCTGTGCATGAAACGCTCTGGCGGGGCTAACGGCTCTGTGTGTACGTCCTATACAATCATTTCCTGATAACGACGACGCCATAGCCCCGCCTCTCCCCACCTCTGCTGCTCACCCCGCGTCATTGCTGATGTGTTTTCGCCAACAACCTCTGCTGCTCACTGCTGTAGCATGGTCAGTAGCTACTGTCTGCTACTGACCATGCTACAGATGTTAGTGCACAATCTACAGCTCCTCTACCACAACCATCAGCAACAAGTGGACATGGAGAATTGCATGAACTACATCAGGGGTACTCAAACTTTTTTGTCAAAGGTCCACTTGTGAATTTTATGCAAGGTCAATGGTCCGGCTCAATGCCAGTAAAGTCCCGTCCCGTCCCGTCCCGTCCCACCCCAGGAGCGGAGCAACGAAACTGAAATTAAGAAGCAGTTTCAGCGTGCTATGCATGGGCCCCCCTTGAGGGGGTTTCCCGACATGTCGTTGCAGTAAATTAAAGGGTGTTTCATGTTGTCGTTGCTATGGACCTTCTTAATCCTTTTTTATGTTTTTCTTTTTTTTTTGAAATTGTTACGTTTATTCTGGTTTGTTTTGTGTTTGTATCTTTTATTTTTAAATGTATTTATTTATTTTATGTTTTGTGAGCTGAGCTGTGTGATTTGATATTTTTTGTATCTCTGTACAGCACTTTGGTCTGGAGGTTTTAAAGTGCTATATAAATCAAGTTGGATTGGATTGGAGTGGATTAATCTACCTTATTTGGGGCCCCCTTCTAGTCCAACCACTTGCATGTCGGTAAACTGCGCCCCTGTATACACACACATGGCTTGAACTAGTGGGAGAAATGGCACTGTTTGTCTGTAGCCAATGCCTTGAACCTCGGCAAAAATGGCATTAGAAAGTCAAGGTAAATTTGCGGTTAACTTGCGGTCTGCAATGCGTGTCACTCTCGCGCACACAAGTAAATATATATGCACGTTCATTCTCACAACGCGTCAGACACAAGAAAATATACATTAAAGGGGACCTATCATGGCGACTAGGAAGGTCTGTTTTCTCTAAGTACAAATTAAGTCGCCGAGTACGCAAGACACAGCCAGCTGGTGGTCGACCTCACAAGGGTGTCCTTATAATACCATACAAGTTTCATTCCATTTTCTTGACCGTAGTAAACATACACTTTTATGAGAATGTAGCTATAGTAGACGCAGAAAGCTTAATATCGAAGGAAGTTAAATTATCATTAAATAAATGTCAGTTGTCTTGACTAGGTAATCTCCTTCACGACGCCACCTGCTCCATAATCATGCTTACCGTGGCGGACATGTCTGATGACGACATGGGTCATTGTACATGGCGTCGAGTGCGATTTCCATATAGTCTTTGTAAATGAAACTCAGTACTTTGTAGCATTTGATGGGGTTAACTTTGGTTTATTTCGTATTTTGTTGGATACGTTTTATTTATTTTTATATAATGAATTTACACATAATACGTTCAATGCGAGATTTAATCGGATTAAATGTAATTGTCAAGTCAACACACAAGTCCGTTATTAGAGTTACAGTGAAAACATTTTATGAGGTGGTGACGATTCGTAGTAGTGGTATGTAACGATAAATTAACATAATAATGTCAATTTTTGTGTTGTTCTGGCTACCTCACAAAACGACATTGTTAATTGTTGTTGCTAGTGACACCAAGAGGTTCGTCCACCGTCTGAGTGAACAATTCCATTTATCGCTTTACATATCCATGTTCGCAATTTCCATGGTTACGTCTTGTTTTAATGTTAGTTTTATATCGTAGTAATAATAAATAAACCTAAAAAGGAAGTACTGGTAACTATAACACCAACCGACTGAAGGACTAGATGTCTGTACAAGATAAGGAAGTATAAGTGTAAATTTAATGTAAAGGTTACGTCCTTGAAAACTCGCAAAGTGTCACTTCCCTAATCATGAAGTCAATCTCCTTCTTATTTTCCTTTCGTCATGAGCTTTTTGTGTTTTGTTCTATTTACAAATCATCTGAACATCTCTGGGAGGAGACGTTTGACAGGTGATTCCTCGTTTGGAGGTGAAATCTCTGACAGGTGACACTGACTAGACGAGGACTATCGTTGGTCGTTTCGAGGACGTAATGGACTTCTATGAGTCAATGAAAAGAATTGTGTGGTGTTGTAATGTGTGTGTATGTGTATGTGTATGTGTGTGTGCGGGGGCTGTTTGTGCGTGTGTGTGTGTCCGGACACCACCTCCAATAGCACAATCCCGGTGCAAATGCTGCCTATGCTATGCTTTGCTATGGAAATCAGCTATAGTTTTTCAGAAGGCAGTTGTGCCATAGCCGAGTTCTTTGCACAGCCGGTGTCGCTTTCTGGCACTGGGCGACCACTGGCGACTCATCTATGTCATCCCGGACATTCAACCCGCGACATAAAGCGAGTTTTATGTGGTTTTCCGCGTCGCTTCTTTCTGGGGCTCCGTACCAACGGTACCAACGGACCAAACCGGAAGGACAGATAAGAGCGCCAGCTAAATCGTGTCATCAAGTCACGAAGAGTTCGATGGCCTGGTCCAGGCCTAGGCCTCGGCTTGACGTTTGTAGTTAGCCTAGCCTGGGACACAGGGCCCCCGTAATATTTTTGAACACCCTTTTTTTTAATATTTTTTTCTTTAGACTATGACTACAAATTAATTTCACCTAGATAATACGACCATACCTTTTATATAACATCGCCGGTATGGATAGTGGTTTTGTACAGACACTTCAAAAAACGATATTAATGGTTTGTCACAAGTGGGCTAAACATCGGTAGCGGAGTAATGACGAAGTTTGGGGAAAATGTCGGGACACAATCTGTTTGGCGCCTAAAGACCCAGGATCGAACTTTTTTTTCTCCTTCCGCCCTCGATTACGAACTAGTCTTAAGTATGGGGCTCTATTTCAATCGTAAGGCGACACTATTTTGCGGTGGTCAAGAGTTGGTGTTTGCCAGGTTTGTGCAGTCAGTAACAAAGACCATCTTCAAGACACCGCCAAGGCGACTGCTAAAATGCGTCGTTTAGCATAGGCGAGCAGCATGGGGACAAAAATTTTCTATGCCTCTCCTTCTCTGCTCCCAAAGTAAAAGACTGCGACGCACTCAAGGGGGCCGCGTGCCCCTGTGCCATAAATACATATTTCTGTAGTGTTTT